TAATCTTAAAGAACAGTTAGAAAAGATGCTTCAAAATTCTATAAATCAAGAGAATTATATAGATTATTTAGAAAAACAGTTAGCAATTTTTCAGAATGAAATAGACAAGCTTAATAAAAAAATTATTGATTTGTATAGCTTTAGCAATACTATAGCACAACCACCAGGATCACCCAGATTATCTCTATCTGAAAATCAAGCCATGATCCAAAATAATAGGATTCAGTAAGAGATTAATAATGTTAGACAGTATTTTCAAAGCTCAGTTACAATAGCTCCCACAATAAATGGTATTGTAGATTATCTTAATATAATTTCTGATGCTAGCAATAAGTTTAAAAAATTGATACTAGATATATTTTCACAAGCAAATATTCATGCAATTAATGCAGAAAATCAAGTAGCAAATTTGCAAACCCAGTTAGCTAATTTACAAACCCAGTTAGCCAATTCCCAGACTCAGTTTGTTGATTCTCAAAACCAGTTAGCTATACTTCAAAATAACTATAATCTTCTTCATCAGGCTTATGAGGCCTACAGAACACAGCATAATATTTTTAAATTTTGAGAACTTGATAGACGAATTACAATTCGTGCACAAAAAAGACAAATATCAGAATCACTTTTAGAAAAATTTGCATTAAGATTCAAAAACAAACAAACTTATCAGCAACTACAAGATTGCAAGACAGATGGGTTAATTACTATGCATCTCTTAAATCTTACAACAAAATGATACACCAAATGGAAAAATAAGTGCAAAACTCTAAAAAATGATCTATTACTTGCTGATATTTAACTAGATAACAAGTGGGGTAAGTGGAAAACTCGAACACAAAATTCTGAACAATTAATTAATAATTTAAATCAACAAATTTTTGTGCTACAGAATAATCAATATATAAATAACCAATATAGAGGAATGGCAGGATATCCACCCCCAAATTTTTATGGCTATTCTGATGAGGATCTAGAAGAATTTATTGATTCTTTTCACTCTTATCTTGTAGCTGTAGGAATTGATGTAGCAGCTGGACATGCTTACAGAATTCGAGCACATGGTCTTTTTGAAACATGCCTCAAAGGTGATGCTAAAGATTGGTATGAAAGATCTCTTCAAAGAAAGAATTGGGAATTGAGAAATTTATTAGATAATACTGGACAAGCTACTTTAGCTCTGGCTCAAGGACAAACAACAATACAACTTAGTGCAAATTTAAGACATGGTGCTGTAGGCCAGGCTGAAAATATTGTTATTCCTGCTCATACAGTATTTGATGAAGACTGGTCTTTTGCCGATAGGTGCCCAACTGATCGCATTGTAAATCTACCCAATGCTAATGGTAGTCAATCTATAGTAGCAGATAGAATTCGACTTGGGCAGGCAATATACTGGCTTAAAACTAACTATCTCACAGTTACTGCAGAAAAACAGTGAATGCTCTTTGGTTCAACGGTTCAAGGCAGTAATCCTGTAGGTTGATTCTATTCTAAGTTATGTAAACTTGCTAGGCTTGCTGGTATTGATGAACAATAAATTTGATTACAATTTATTCATGATATCTCTCCTGATAATCAATTAGAAATTCGATGCATTGGAATTAACAGGCCTGTATTTGAATTGCTTACAGAACTCGAAGAAATTGAAAGATATAAGACAGAGCAATTATCTGGAGCATATTTATATTCAGGCACAGATAAATCTTAT